AAAGTACCGTACTTCCATGATCGTAAGCCCCTCCCGAGTATGAAGCCCATCCCTATATTTTTACTAGGTATTTATCGAGTTGAGAGCATTCACGATTATAAGCCCAGAGTGTTTTTACTGGGCATCGACGATATTCTTTAAAATATGCGTGTAAAAGGTGTGTTTCATTTCATAATAATCGTGATTGGCATGGTAGTTTGATTCATGCTTTTAGTTTTTATGAGAAAACTCACATTAATTTCAGAGTGCATGGCGAACGTACACAGCGTGGTTCGCATCTTTTCTATTCTGTCATTTACTCAGGATGAACCCCGATGTTGCAATACTGGAGTAATCCATATTTCTTTGAGTAGTAGCTTTCGAAAAGCCAAAAATGTGGTTGTTAAGTCGTGTACCTGGTTATTGGGCATGGTTTACTTTGAGACTATCATGAAAGGCCTAGGGTTTGAACGATGTGACATGATGTTGGCGACCGTGAAAGGTGTTTAAATTCTTCCTCCACACTTGGTTACTATTAACCGGCGTTTATATTTCGGGTGGCACGCATTTTTTTTCAAAAATAAGTATTATTTTTCCAAGCTCGGCCTGGTGAACAAATAATTTTTTTGAATAATTTTTCGTTGTTAGCAAGAATAGAATAGAATAGAATAGAATAGAATAGAATAGAATAGAATAGAATAGAATTCTTTATTAATACTGTAAAGATAATGTGACATTTCTTTTTTAGTTAACGAGTTAATAAAGTTTTTACATAGTTGAGCGGACATAAAACTATCCGTGAATAGTACACAGTGTTTAACCCCAAAACAAAATCATCTTTTGTGAGTTGGTCCTCGAGTATAAGCTCATCCCTTACTTTTCCCTTACGTGTTCATGCTTCCGGGCTTATGATCAGGGAAGTACGGTATACTGTGAAGATTCTGATCAGTCCAATGTGAGTGATGAGAGTATAGTGTCGACGATGCCCTTGTTCGGATGATAGTTTTATTTCAAATTACACGGAAGTCTGTGAACAATCTGCTTGGTGTTCCTGTGACAATTGTCTCATGATTTGCCAGTGCAGCCCCTGAATACATGAACGAAAATGTTCCCACCACCACCTACGAACTCAAGATTGCATACTCCAGCATCCATACATTGAATAATTTGCATGCCGCACAGTGCAGTACTGGAAACAGCATTTATTAGACAGTTAGACAAAAAACAAACAAAAATGCCTGTCTCGATCAATCGCACATCCATAATGTTTGTATGTTGATACGCTTGTAAATAACATTAACGTAAAAGTCGAAACAACCTAGACAAGAAGTCAATTCACCAGTCAAGCCAACTATGGCTCCTTAAGTTGCTTATATTTAATCAGATACTATTTCGTCATCATGCTTACCTTACCTGTTTATACCTCATGAGGGCGTTTTTTTTATGGCAAGATGGCGCAAACGGAAGTCCTTCGCAGGTTTATGGTTTCTCATATTTAAATCAACATAACTCTGAAGATTATAATTTTTTTTAATTTTTTTTTTCAAATTTATAATCAATATACCTAACTTGATAAATACAAACACCAAAATAGGCTCTATTTAGTTCCCCTTTAAGTGTTTTGAGATAATAGTTTTTAGGCTACATAAGTACAAGCTAAGATTTAAGCAAATCTTACATGTTTGCATATTAGCTAGACTCAATTGCGTCCATGCACACAAGGGTCAGCACTTGGTATGGGCTAAGGGACGTCATCAATAGGTGACTTTTGTTACACAAAATGGATGACATGTTTGAGGTACTGTTCCCATTGCTGACATTTATTTTAATTTTTAAGCAACATAGTGATGACGATTTTTTTTTTCATAAAAATTGAAATGTAGGAAAGGAAGACATGACAGAATGAAGTTATATGAATACATGTCGTAAACAGTGAATTAAATTAAATTTGTTTAAAACTGGAGCTGCCGTACAATGGACTGGTCAGTGTAGAAACATGTGTGGAATAATCCATGATGGGACTATCACATTATTTCATGGAATCTAAATGGCAATGGATTTGGTTATCTTTCCATATACTAAATATGGCTATGGTTTCCTTATCACTCCAGTTTATGCAAATGAAAAGTTACAAATATTTGACCACTTAAGAAAAATTTCTTTTCAAAGGTAGGGTGATTAGCCAAGGCGAAGGTAGGGAAATGATTAGAGATATCTGTGGTTTGTGTACTGACCTGAATTTTGTATTTATTTATATTAGTACCGTACCTACCCGAGTATAAGCCCACCACTCTATTTTTAGACATTTAATGAGTTGAGGGCATCCCCGATAATAAGACCAGGTTGTTTTTATTGGGCCACGATGATATTTATTAAACAAGCAGCCTATCGGCTGAGATAGCTCCGCTGTTAGCAATGCACATTTCAATTAAAGAACTGAAGACATCATTAGAAAATGAACAATATGTATAGTATCAAAGCAATCGGACTTGCAGTTTTTAACAAGAAGTCGAAAATATCACTTTCTACCAAAAATGACAAACATATTCACCAAAATTAGAGAATTGAAGATATCATCATGAAATGAACGAATCTGAGAAAAGTCTACATGTAGTATCTATATATGTAATATCAAAGCAATTGAACTTTTGGTTTTTAACCAGAAGTTGAAAATATCACTTTTTACCAAAAATGACAAAAATATTCACCAAAATTAGAGAATTGAAGATATCATCACAAAATTAACAAATCTGAGAAAGATCTACATGTAGTATCTATTTATATGATATCAAAGCAATTAAACTATTGGTTTTTAACAAGAAGTCGAAAATATCACTTTTTACCAAAAATGACAAAAATATTCACCAAAATTAGAGAATTGAAGATATCATCACAAAATGAACAAATCTGAGAGAGATCCACATGTAGTACCTATATATGTAATATCAAAGCAATCGAACTTGCGGTTTTTAACAAGAAGTCGAAAATATCACTTTTTACCAAAAATGACAAAAATATTAACCAAAATTAGAAAATTGAAGATATCATTACAAAATGAACAAATCTGAGAGAGGTCCACATGTAGTACCTATATATGTAATATCAAAGCAATTGGACCTGCGGTTTTCAACAAGATGTCGAAAATATCACTTTTTACCAAAAATGATAAAAATATTCATGAAAATTAGAGAATTGAAGATATCATCATGAAATGAACAAATCTAAGAGAGGTCTACCCAAGGTACATATACACCAAGTATCAAAGCATTCAGACTTGTAGTTTTCAAGAAGTCGAAAAAGTAAAACATTGACACGGACGACGCCGGACGCCGAACGTCGACGGACAATCACTCATATGATAAGCTCCGCTCGACAAAGTCGACAGCGGAGCGAAATATGTACTGTATGTAAAAAGTGTGTTTCATTGCATAAAAATCATGCTTAGTACGGTAGCTTGGTTCAAACTTTTCGAAACTATCATGAATGGGATGTGAACGAGTAAATTATTCTTAAATTGTTTAAATACTTAGTATTGCTCTCCACTTGGATCATGCGAGAACAAACTCATTTATTAGTAAATTCAGAAGTTTCCAACAAAGATACAGTTGTGTTCTAGTAAACAGGGATTGTTTAGAACAAATAAACTAGTAAATGCAGACTGTTTAGAACAACGAAAGTGTACTTTCCTAGCAAACAAAGAATAATGAACAAAAACTGTCCACTACCGACAGTAAACATCACATACTTAGTATACTGTAAACAGTTTTAATTTCGCGAGCTACAAAATTTGGCGAGTTTCCGGTGTCAAAAAAAAACACGCAAAATTTAGTAGCAGAGAAAATTTTGTCGGGCTCCATATGTACGACTTTATTTTCACATGTGACTGTCACGATAGTTGATGATACAAGTATGAACAAAAGACAATAAATCAGTTGTAAAATGCAGCATTGTTTTATTACTTTGTGTAATTATTATAATTTGTGCATTAAAAGTTGTACATGTTTTACTCAACACTTGTTTTTTTCATAAAACGCACTTCAACTGCGTCATTCAAATTATCAGGCGTCATATTGTTCGATCATGTCATATTATAAATAAATACAAATGTAAATATTGGTAATAAATCTCAAAAACAAAGGGACACTTATTAAATCAGTTCAATGAATGTTCAAATTCATATTGCAATGTTGTCATAAAATCCATCAATGATAAGTTCACGTTCACGGCGGAGATCGTCATACACGCGGAGAAGCCAGTTGGCATGCAGTGGTTTCATGGTTAATAATTTGAGATCTACGTTGATTTCATTGACATCTTGGCCATTATTAAGGGCTGTAGCAACTTTGTCGGCATACCACTTGTTGAATTGTTCTTTCAATCAATCTTTGAATTTCCTGTTGAATGACAAGTCTAGTGGTTGCAGCTCTGATGTGCTTGGGGGAACGAAGACTGGTACAATGCCGGCGTCATGAAGTTTTTGCAGGAAACTCTCGGCTTGATGAGCTCGAAACACATCAAAAATAGCGACTGCTTTCTGCTCTGCCGGGAGGTCAAGTTCATCACAGATTTTCTGCACATACGGGATGAGAATTTTATCAGCATATCGTCCCATACTATGCTCATTACTCCAATGGTTTGGTGTATGGTAAATGTCCCATTCGGCGGGAAACTGAATGTTTGGGTGGCACAGATCGGTCTTTCCCTTGTACAGCTATTGCAGTGGCAATAAATCGTCGGGCAAGGACATTGCAAATACTGCAGTTATTTCTTGCTTGTCTTCTAGGCCTATGATTGGGACTTGTCGCTCTCCCTCCTTGGCTAATGTCCACGAACTAACGAGGTCAATGTGTATGCCAGTTTGGTCAAAATTGATCACCAACTCAGATGGTATGGCTTCCTGGGAAACTGCGTTGGTGATGCATTCCAAGAACGACTTCTTAATTCCGTTGAAATTTCCCAGTAATTTTCTAGCAGCTTTCGTTCCTTTCCGTTTCAAGTAACCCATCCTTTGCATTAATGACTCTGACCAAGTACGTGTCAATTCGTTAGGTCCGCCAAATTCTTGAAGCAGGACCAATTACGCTGCAACACAATACCACATGTGCCTGCTACCACTATGTTTCTGTTGACGATGTCCCCTGAGTCTCTGACGTTATTTACATATCGCTTCACTCGAGAATCAAGTTCGCCTAAAAGTAGAGGTCGACCACGTTCAGCATGATGAATACTAGTTACTGGTTGAGTTTTTGATTTTTGGACTTCTTTGATGTAGTCTTCTTTCATAGATCGAATGGTACTTTCATTGATGGACAGTGAAGTGGCGCACTGCTCTGGAATTGCCATTTTCTGCTGCAAACTTGCAGATCTTCGCACAGAGTTCTGGATTATAAACTTCATACTGCCCACGCTTTTGTTTTCTGCCATGAGAACCCAAGGTTGTGAGAACTTTGAAGACTTTTTCATTAGCTTGATATGTTTCAACAGGATTGTCAGTTGACACTGGATCTGGAAGACCAGGCCGAATGATGGTAGCATCGGGATTTCGTATGAGATAACTCAACATCATGAAATGTAAGGAAGTACGCCTGATGAAAACAACTCGAATATTGAGGCAAAAATTCCCAATATGCACAATATTACAATAAAAGTGTGAAATACAGTAATAGGCATGTCTATTGTCTTTGATTAGGACTCATCAGTATCAACCATTTCCTGCACATGTCCGGTCACACCACAGTCCCTTTGAATTTCAAAAACAAAGCACCCATTCGCCATTTTAAAATTTTCTCCTCAAGTTAAAATCACAAAAATTTATCATCGCGAAAAACTCGGCAAACACAAAATCGTGAATATTTCTAGCAGCGAAATTATTACAGTTTACAGTAAATAGCATGAGTTAAAGAGTGGTGTAACTGGGTATAATGTCACAATTATTATGCAGTCACAGGAGAAGGTCACCCGCCTATGTCTAAATATAAACTAATTACTGTAAAATACTTTATTTTCGCTCAGAAATTGTTTTCGCTATTTTCGCTGACGTAATGATTCTGTGAAAATAAAATCCAGCAAATATACTATATTTCCTATATTTTACATTCAACTCACCAAAAATCAGTAAAAATAAATTCCATAGAAAACACCTACGGTAAAAAGTCTTTTCAGTGAAAATAGATTCCAGCTAAAATAAAGTATTTCACAGTATATAAGTGCTGTCTCACCTGCCATATTTGGTATCCCCTACAAGTAACTCAGGTGCTCTGTACCATCTAGTGGCTACATAATCAGTGTAAGCTTCACCTTGTGATGCCAATGTCCTAGCAAAACCAAAATCACATAGCTTCACCACACCTGATTTAGATACTAAAATATTTTCTGGTTTTACATCTCGATGAATAATCTATATAACAAGAGGAAAAAAAAGAAAGATTTATGAAAAATATTGTCTTATATAGTAGTTTTGATTTATTGTAAAGTGTATTCACTATCACAACTAGCCTTATAACTAGCTATTCATGCACCACAGAACCATATTACAATATC